TCTCTCTCTCTCTCTCTCTCTCTCTCTCTCTCTCTCTCTCTCTCCCGCCCCGTGGGTGATGAAGTGTTGGTACGTAGCACAGGCTAACCTGAAACTCTTGACCCTCCTTCTTCCACTTCTCAAGTTCTAGGATTACAGGCATGTACCAACATACCCAGCTCTTTACTTCTTTTATGGGCCTATCTCTAAATATATAGTCACATTTTGAGGTCCTAGGGGCTGGAATTTCAGCATAAGGATTTACAGAAAACAATTAAGATCATAACACGAACATTGTAGTGTACTGTTTCAGAGCAAAGAGTGAAGTTGAGCAAATATGGGTGCAAATTTTAGTCATAATATTTACTGTCTCTGTAACCTTTAGGTCTCAGATTTCTCTTTTGCAAAGGAGATGCCAGCTGCACACAGCTTGTAAGGAAATTTCTGTGATATGTGAGAACCTAGCGAGGTTCTCAGCAAATGGCCAACTTCACAATGGCAGTTGTATGTTTACAGGTAGGAAGGTGAGGATGTCATTTAGCAATTTAGAATATATGTCTCATAGTTCTTGGTTCAATGTTATCTGCAATTACAAATAATTGTTATAATACAGTACAGTCTCAATAATGAGGTGATGAGAGATGGGTTTTATGGTGATGTGTAAGACTGTTAGCTCCAAAACATAAAATCCTTGATGATTCCAAAATTCTGGCTGACAAAGAGTTTCTAATAATTTTGTATAAATGGATTTCAAGGGGCGCAGATCAAGCAGTATCCACCTGACATATGGTGCTAGGTGCACCTTACATACTCATGGTAATGTATCCCTTCCTGACTAAAATCTTGTTCATACATTGTCCCACTTTAGTTTTATTTGGCATCTTCCTTGTCCTTTTCTCTGTACTGACCATATACATTTGTCTTCCTCATGGGGCTCAGAGGGGATGCGTCAATTTCTGCTTTTATTTTTCTGAGCATTGAGTGCTCTAGTTTGAATGGGAAATGTCCACCACAGGCTCATATAATGAAAGATTGGTCTACAGATAGTGGTGTTAATTTGGGAGATTCTGGAAACTTTGGGAGATGGAATCCTAGGTGAAGAAGGTAGGGCACTGCGGATGGGGTGGATCCTTAGGGACATGTTATGCCTGGCCACATCCTGTCAGTGTCTTTTCTCCCTGGGCCATCATGAAAAGAATAACTGTTCTATGTCAGAAGCTCCTGATGTCATGATGTTCTGTGTTAGTCTTGTGAGCCCATGAAACAAAGGAAATTGCTCCTTCCTTAAGTTGTTTGTGTCAGGTCTTTTGGCTAACTAATGCAGTGGGATGTACAAGTTCCTTGCTGAAGTAATTGCTATCTGGCTTTTATACTCACATGAGCAGAGTGTAGAATATGCAGATTACAGAGTATTTTCTCTAGGCAGGCCACAGACCGTGCCATTTAGCTCCTGCCGCAAAACAAACTACTTCAAACCGAGTGGCTTCAAAACCTCAGATTATTTTTTTGTTATTGCTCATGATGTTTTGTGTTAACCAGACTCATCTGACTGGATGTCTGCTCCATGTGGCCTTGGCAGACAGCAATCACTGGGGCTTGGATGCTGAAAGATACATTCTGATTCTGCTGGGCTGGGATGGTAATAGGGATGGTGGCCATGTCTCAGAGCTCATACTGGACTAAGGATCATACCACCTTGGTTTTATTTCTGTGTCATTTTTCACAGGTGTAGGTGTCTTCAGATTGATGGTTTGCAGTACTCTAAGAAGGTTGTAGGGGCTGCACCTATCTAAGTATTGAGCACAGACGTTTTAGAACAGCCATTCACTGCATTCCATTGGGCAGAGGAGGCAAGAGTTCAGCCTAGAGTCAAAGGAAGGGAAATCAGTCCCACTGTTCTTGGGCAAGCAGGGATAGAGGGAGGATGATGAACTCGGGAGAATAGTTATCACAGACTAAGAAAGGAAAGTGGGTGAAGCTCTGAAGTCAAATTGAAGATTTGGGTGTAACAGGACCAGAAGAGGCATGAAGGGAAGGTATTGGCTAAATGGAGTACTTGCCAAAAATCTTTTGTAAATGCCAGTGAGAGAGGATGAATAGGCCCGGAGAGAGAGTTTCTAGACACAATTGTGATCTCATTGTCTGCACCCACTCTTGGACAGATTCCCTGCGTAGACTGGATACTGCATGTTCTTCAGTCTGTGTAGAGCAGCCCACATAGTATCTGCACTTGATGTTTCCAACCCTGTCAATCACGTCTTTGATAATTCTTTTCCATATATGATGTTTCCTTGAGCTCCTATCTGAATGAGGAATACCCATCCCTCTTATTTCTTTGACCCTATGGAAGGTTGTTCCTGTCCACCATAGAACTAAGAGGCATCTAGGAGAGCATTCAATACATATCTGTGAAAAGGCCAGATGGAATGAAGGAGGGAGCTTGTCAGGAATTTTTTAGAGGAGTAACCAAAAAAACAAGCATGATGCAGTGCTGTTAAGAGTGGCAAGATGGGGGGCTAACGAGATAGCTCAGCGGTTGAGAGCACTGACTACTCTTTGCAGAGGACCTGGGTTCAATTCCCAGCACCACATGGTGGTTAACAACCATCTGCAGCTCCAGTTCCAGGGCATCTGATGCCTTCCTCCGTGTTAAGAGTGGCAAGATGGGGGGCTAACGAGATAGCTCAGCGGTTGAGAGCGCTGACTACTCTTTGCAGAGGACCTGGGTTAACAACCATCTGCAGCTCCAGTTCCAGGGCATCTGATGCCTTCCTCCAACTTCGTGGGCATTGCATGACACGGGTGCACTTACACACATGCATGGAATACACTCATACACGTAAAATAAAAATGATAAATAAAATACTAAAAAAAGAGTGGCAAGACAGGGACTGGAGATATGGTTTGGTATTTAAGTGTACATACTGTTCTTGCAGAGGATATGAGTTCAGTTCCCAACAGTGTGAGACTCACAACTGCCTACAACTTCCACTCCAGCAGGAGCTGATGCCTCCAACTTCTGTGGTCACCTGTAGTCAAGAGCACATGCCCATACACAGACAGATACAAGCACACATATTTAAAACAAATCTTAAAAACAAATCCTTACAAGAAAGAGAGGACCAGCAAAATGGCTCAGTGGATAAAGACACCTGCTGCCAAGTCTGATAACCTGAATTTGATCCCCAGAGCCCTTAGGGAGGAAGGAGAGAACTGACTCCCACAAATTGTCCTCTGGCCTTCACAAATGCACCATAGCATATGGGTCATAATAAATAAATAAATAAATAAATAAATAAATAAATAAATAAATAAATAATACATGAAAAACTAAAATGGTAAGAGACTAAGCAGAGGAAAGACATCATTGACAACCCAGAGAACAAACTGAAAGAACCCCAAAATCAATTTCAGAGAGAGCAAACACAGGCTTGTTTTCAGTAAGACCTTGACCTTCTGGTATTACATCCTTGGAAATTTTTAGAGATGTGAATTTAATACTTTCTATCTGTGCCTAGACACTTGGAACACTATGTTCTGCAGATAGACCTACTGTGGTTCATTCATAGATGGATG